AAAAATGTTTTATGACCTTTCCGAGACAATTTTTGTGCTTTTTATATTTTCTTTGTTAAACAGCTTGTCTGACGTCATCATGGGACATTCTCAGAGCAATCTGGCAAAATATGATTAAACAATATTTGATCTGCATTTTATTTGTTAATTTCTTTAGATTACGCACTATATACCATAATGTTAACGAAAAAGGAAAACATAAAACTCAAAAAGACTAGATTTATGTTTAAATCCAAAGCTGAAAAAGTCAGCTCCCAGAAGTAGCGTAGGATCCCATTTCCGGTGCAGATTGGGAACAGAGTGATAAAACATTTGGTTTGGAGATGGACTGTCTTGCTTTTAGAACGTGTTAGAACAATTTTTCCAACACATAAATTAAATAAAGCCAAGCTGCTCTCTAGCTTTAAGCTACAAAACAGAGCAGATAAACAACCAGAGTGCCGAGCATCCAATGTGGCGAAGTTTTAAAGCTAATTGACCGCAGTTTGATCCGGCATCCAAATTTCTGTGTTTGAACGTATTTGACGCCCATAACGCCTTTGGTGTGAACACAGCATAGCATAACATTTTATCTGCTGTCGCTTCAAACTAATTAACTGTTTTTTCTTACGACAGCTGACGGCGAGACAGGAAACTCCTTCAACCCCTCCACAGTACCTGCCGACGCCCCTCCTCCTCCTCAAAACCCCGCCCCTGTTCCACAGACTCCTCCTCCTGTAAACCGTTCAGCTTCCAAACCCCCGCCATTCCCTGTGTTGCGCTTCCCAAAGGTCAGCAGGGAGGGGGTGGTAATAAAGCAGAAGGGATAAACAGTCCATAATGGGGTTTATGTCAAAAGGAACTTGTAGTTGAGTAGTTAAAAAAAAAACAAACAAACAAACAAATGTATTTCTTTGCTTAAGTCCAGCTACAACATGTTATTTACCAATAGATTAGAGTATGGAAGCTCTAAATGGTGTTTCACGTGGGGTGCCCTGCAGCCTGCTCCTGCTGGCTAGAAACTGTTTTCTCCCTGAAGGTCCTGATTCAGTTTAATCCGGCCAATGCACCAATTGTGGAAGCTCAACATGGTAGAATTCTCTTAAGACAGAAACAAAAACACTCAAAATGATTCACTCAATTTTTTCCTCCGGATTGGGGAAGCCATTTATTGACAAGTCCAATTCCAACAGCTGTTTAAAAAACTTCCAGCACTACTTCATCACAGACAATCTCAACGCGTTTCCCCCGAATCTGGCCCTCCCTTCCAGCCCCATTTATACCTTCCTGAAACATGGTGTACATGTGTGTCTGTGTGTGTGTTTGTTTTGGCTCTGATACCTAAACAGGAAAACATTGTTTTTGCCAAGATCTCTTGGCTCACAACTTATCCTACGTGCAGATCACCAACTTAGATTGTTATGTGACCTCTGCTTTCCATTGTTTCTGTGTGCTAGGGTTCAAACGCCCTGTGAACTGTATTCTCTCTGTGTTGCTAAGTGTGTATAAGGCCTTGAAATGTGTTTACAATGTGTGAAAATTATATAGCGCCATCAAGAGCTGAATTTAAATCTATCTATGATTTATGAAAGAACGGTTCAACCAGCATGAGCCTCATTTAGTACAGGTGTTAAAATACATGAAGTCTGAGTTCCTGAATAAGAAAAAAAAACAAAAAACATTTCTTCTGCCCCCTAGTGGTGTTTAGTGAGTCTTGCCATTGAATCTCTCACCTACAGAGCATTGCTGTGTCCCAAAGTGCTGGGACCCCTCCTGTTGATTCTCCATGGGGGTTCTCTTCCCCTGTTGACAGGTAAAACACACTTGCTATCAACATTTAATGACTCCAAACCCTCTTTGTTTAAAGTAATTTAATTATGTGTGTTTTCTGTGTGCAGCTACTCCTCTGACATAACCTCAGGTCTGAGTGACGGAAACGACGCCCAGTCCGATTGGAGCAAACAGGAAGTGGCTAAAAGAGAGGCCACAAAGCAGTTCAGACGCAGAGCCAGAGCTCGGCTGAGGATCATAGGGGTGAGTGGAAGCAGCAACGTCAGAGGCCTGGAAACTGAACCGGGTTCGCTGATAAGAGTTGGCTGCTTTCAGGTGTCCGATAAGGTGGACCGGGTGGTGGAGTGTCAACTGCAGACTCACAACAACAAGATGGTGACCTTTAAGTTCGACCTGGATGGAGACAATCCAGAGGACATCTCATCTGTGATGGTTAGGAAACAGCCAATCAGAGCAAAGCATTTAATCAGCATTCAGCTCTTCATCAGACCAGCTTGAATAACCAATTCTTTACATTCAGCTCCTTAGAGACTTCATCATGCCATCTGAGAGGGAGGGGTTTGTTCTACGCATGTATGAAATCATCAAGAGGGCGGAGCTAATGATCCATCAGCAGCATCCAGGAGATTCAAACAGGCAGCCCCACCTGAATGCCTCCACCCTGCATGAATCGCAGGTGTGCCTCAATCCCCTAATGCCCTAAAGTGCTGTGAAGTTGTATCCTGCTTAAATTTCTCATGTGTTGCAGCTTTTTGATCTCACCTGAATTTTTTTAGATCGATAAAGAAATCAAAGCAAATGGCAAATTCTGTCTTTTTCCTAAAGGAGGTGAAAAGGGGAATAATTGCCCCCTTATTAAACTATCAATAAAGTGGTTAGTGACCCAAGCTTGTCTCAACCAGGCTCATGAAATCCCTTACATAAGACCTGTCAGGCAACATGAAGTAGGCTAAAACATCTTAAAAAGCAGAACATTATGCCAGCAGCTGAAGAAAATAAAGAACAGATAAGAAACAAAGGCCTCCTGAAACTATTCTATAAGTTCATGGATGATTCATTAATAGGAGGTAACTAATGAACCCAGATCAACATCTGAAAGATGGAAAGCCTCACATGGGCAAAAAGTGCATCCATTGTTATTTTTAAATCTGTACATCCCAAAAAGTTAAAAAACATTCCACTGGACTTTGTTTCCAAGTTTTATGAAGTTTCTCTTCCATCCAGGAAGCTTTTTCAATGCAAAATGTCAGAAATAGCGTTGAGTTCCAGGTTTTATAGGGTGGACCAGAAAAAAAAGCCTTATTTTGGCTTAGAAAACATGCAATTAAACTGGTGGAATGGGTCCGCCCCTTGGGAAAGGGCAGTCGTTGGGTTCTTTGTAAGCCTGCAATACCCTATACCTGTTTATTTCTCTGAAAGGGGTGTCCTTAGAGGGAATTGTTGGCCTGGCTGAACAGGGAGGTTCTCTGCTCCCCTGCATTGGGGTGGGTGCCACGATGAAGCCACTCTATCACAGTATTGTAGGTTTTTGAAAGCTGAAATCTGAGTCCCCCCCCCCTGTTTGAAGTTGTTTTTTCTTTCTTAGATAGATGGCTTCCTTCACGCCCCTCTCAAACCACCTTTCCTCTTTGTCCAAAATGTGAACATTCTGGTCCTTTGTCCATCAGAATGTCCTTTGTCCATCAGGTGTAGATGTGCAGCAGAGTCTTGTCCAGAGGAGGGCGCTCTTCTGTGTTGGGCCATGCATCTGTGGAGAGGTTGTTTGGTTTCTCCAATATAAAGATCAGAGCATTCCTCACTGCATTGAACAGCAGACACCACTGCTGTTCAATGCAGGATGCATTAGTCTCTGTTTAAGGGTCTTGTTTGTTTAAGGGTCTTGCTTGGCTTGAAATTTACTGGGATTCTATGTTTGGAGAAAATCCTCTTGAGTTTTTTCAGAGACAATTTAACATATGGGATGGCGATGTTTTTGCATTTAAACACAAAAACATCGCCATCCTGTATTAAAGGCTAACAAAGAACAAAGAAAATACAATACGGGCTCTCGGTAACGGAATCCTCCATGTTTATGCTAACTTCATAGACTTCCTGCCCTCCATCTGAAATCGCGCCCCCTGGCCGCGTCATAATCGTCACGTGACTGAAACCCGGCTATGACTGCCCATTCTCAAGGGGGCGGACCAGTTTGTCCGGTTTAATTTTCATGTTTTCTAAATGGAAACATTTCTAAGCAAAAACAAGGTTTTGTTTTTGGTCCAATATATACAACTGCAAACTCAACGTTATTTCTGACATTTTGACTTAAAAAAGCTTCCTGGATGGGAAAAGAAACGTCTTCAAATTTGGAAACAAAGTCCAGTTTTTAAACTTTTTTGGAATAACTATGCCCTGCATGACTGAGAATCTGCTCCAGCAACTCTATACATTCCTGATGACACAAAAGAAACATGACATATGTCACAATGACCAGATAATAGGTTTGGGATGTGACTATTTATTCCACACAGAATAGGTAGTTTTAATTTCGGTTGTTTCCTATTTCCCTCATTGTTGAAGGAAATTGCCATGAAATTATCTGTTAGTATTTACTCTAGGTCTCTGTGTCTGATGTTAAAATTTGATTAAAGTTCAGAAACCTTCAACTGTGACAAAACTGCCAGAACAGAAGAACTTTCTAAAACAGGGCCAGCTCTTTACATCGATATTTACAGAAACGTTAACAGTTACCTGAAGCATAATCTTAAATACCTTAAAGGGAAACGCCGTTTTTTTTTTTATATTGGGCCCTTGATTTTACGTTATTACATCATGTTCTACTCACCCATATGTGTTTTGTGTTATTTGGAGCTGTTCTGAAGATATTCCGTACCTTCAAGTCGTTGCCCATAGGAAGACGTTACTTGGATATGACCTAATGGAATATCTTCAGATCAGCTCCAAATGACACTAAACTCATATAGGGCAAACTCATATGGGTAGAACATGATGAAATATCGTAAAACAAGGGGCCTGTCTTTAAGAAGACAGTAAAATGATAGGTTCCATAATTCAATATATTATTTTATTTGTCTGTTAACTTTAACTTTAAAACTGTTTCTAAATCTTCACAGTTAAAAGAAGCAAATGATCTGTCCAGAGCCATGTCCACGTCCTCTTTACCTGGTAAGGAACACCACTCTGATCATGGTGGATTTGTTCAACGATAAGATCCGTCCGATAGTTTAAAACTTTGATCTGATGTAAAGCTGTTGCTTCTGACTCTGTTTTTCATTTCTCCACCATCTATCTGTCCAAGTCAGTTGATTGTTGTTTCCCTTTGTTAGATATTGAAAATAGTGACCCCTCCCCTCTCAAAGCTGTGGATTTCCACATCGACACTGAGGCCACACCCCCCGTCAGGCCACTGAGGTCACAGTCTTTCCAGACCCCATCAGGTACGAGATGGTATTCAGTTAATTTAAAGGGGTGATAAAATGATTCTATGGTATCTGGTTCTGGTCCTTCAGGTCTCTGAATAGGGTGTGTAACATCAGTTGGGCTGAAAATGGCATATTTGATGTTCTATGAGCCCTAATGCAGCCTGGTTAAAAGCCCTAGAAAGAAACAACAGGTTTTCTTCCTTTTATGGTATGATCATGAATATTTAGATGAGCTGTGCTCTGATTGGTTGGTTTACAACGAGCAAAACTGCTCAGAAAAGACGCATCATAGCAACAAGCACTCACTCACTGAAACATCAAATTGTTGATATGGTAGGGTGACCAGACATCCTCTTTTTCCCAATATGTCCTATTTTTTATACCTAAATAAATGCCCGGGGGGAATTTCAAAACCGTCCTGGATTTTGGTCGACTACAGTGCAGCACGTAATTGAAGAACACTGGGTATTTGAAAGGAGCCATCAGCTCCGGGGGCAGGGAGCCAGTGGGGGACAGAGTGACCAAACCCAACACGGTGACGGTAGCCTGGACACTGGCGGCCCCATGTTCCCCCCTCCCTGCCTTACCGGACCCGAGCCCCCCTCCTTTGGCTGAGGACGGGCGGCTCATGGATCTCTGCTGAGGTCCAGTCCAATCAGCGCCCCAGCAGTCGACACTTAATAACCCCCCCTTGCGCCAGTGAACCAGTGAGCTGGTCTGTATGTCAATTTCGGGGCGTGACAAAAGTACAGGCCAGAACCAAATAAGGCAACATCCCAGAGTTTACGTCAACTCGGTGCTTCATTTGGATTCGCCCGTTTTATGGTGGAAGTTTAGAATAGTAAGATTTGCAGAGAAAGGAGGTGTTGATGAGGTTTGATGTTCTCTGTACGTCTATTTCACCCACCGAACTATCGTTATTCATCTATGACAATGATAACTCGGTTTTACATTCTATGAACCTTTAAACACTCAAACATCTACATTTGAATCAACTGGTTGAACTGGGACCAGCAGACAGACCTGAGCCAATCGCAGTCCACTGCAGCGTACATTCAGCCCACCTTCTGCCGCCTCTATCTGCTAACAGGGGTTGATAGACGACACCCTTGGAGGGACGATGGGGGGATTAGAACAATTAGATCAAATGTGTGTGTGTGTGTGTGGGGGGGGTGGGGGTGGTATTTTTGAGTGCAGACAATAAATAAGTATTTGTATTTAAGAAAACAAAACAGTTAAAGAAAAAAAATATTTTTTTTTCCTCCCCCATGGGTATCGAACAGAAGGTTTTATTAAACTAAACTTATTTTATGTTCCTTCCTCCAGCATCCTTTTATCAGCCCCCACAGTACCCCCAAAACTATCCCCCAGACTCCAACTCTACTCCCCGACCTCATCTCACACCTGCTGCTCAATACCACCTCCCAACTCACCCCTATTCAACTTACACTGCTTCCTTCCCAACTTTTTCCCCCATCCCCCGACTCCCCCGGGTCCAGAGTAACCCTGCCCTCTTCCCCCCCACCTCCTCTCCACCAACTCCTCCTCCTCACCAGTGGCCCTCTCAAGACCAGCCCATTTTTTCTCTGGCCAATGTCCTGTCTGTGGCAATGAGTGTAGCTCAGTCCCTCATGCCCCAATCTGGGGTCCCCAACCAGGCCTTATACCCCCAGAGTCCACCTATATCTCCCCCATTTCCTTACCCACAGACTGCCCCCAATTCTTCTGCATCTCCATCTTTGGGCTCTAGTCTCCATCATCAAAACAAAGCCTCCTTTTCCAATTCCTTTCCCATACAACCGTCCTACTCTCCTGCAACACTTCAGGCAGGCTCATCTAGGGGAACCCAGCAGGAAACATCACCCAGCACCACCCAAAAAAACGCTCAGGTGAGACAGAGTGAAGCAGTTCTTCAGGCTACTAGGTTCTTCATTATGGAAGTAAAAAGACCTTCTTTAATCCATTTTTTACAGCTCAGGAATTCTGCGCCTCCTCATGGTGAGTACCTGGTGCCATCACTGACTCCAGTCACACCTGACTGAACCTGGACATTGAACAGTTATCATACTGGTTCACAGGTTCAGGGATACCATCTTCTCCCAGTCTGACCACTACTTCTGATCCCAGAGAAGAGTTTTCTGACTCATCAACTTCTTCCACTTCCTCTCCTCATACATCAACTCCTCGCAAAATGGTGAGGTCCTTCAACAGCAGATATTCTGTTTGATCAGTGCATGTAAGTCACATCCTTCCCTGATGGATATATGAAGATTTCGTCTGAGGAAACAAGCTTGTGATATGAAATCATATGTTCTCTAGTCGATGACTGTGCCATAACAATTCAACAGTCAGGGATCAGCTGTCTTGCGGTTACCTCATTAGTTAAAAGGTCACATAAATTCAGTTCTTTGAATCGTTCTTAGTGGACGATGGGTCCATCGTCTACTACCCGTCACACTCTCTGGGTTGTTTCATAGTTTACAGCTGCAAATAGCAAATCAGCCAATGACAGGGCAGCATCCACATCCTCTGTCCATGATGAGTTAAATCCAAAAGCATCTCACTTTGTTTATCCTTCGGGGTAAGTTCAAAGTTACTCTACCTCTTAATTCCTCAAGTTATTTTAGTTCTGCTTCTTTCCCTCTTATCCCAATCATGCTAATTATGATCATGCTAGATCATCAAGTCTTTGACCTCCTCTAGTAGCCTTAGGTTCCTTGAATCCAATCANTGATCATGAATATTTAGATGAGCTGTGCTCTGATTGGTTGGTTTACAACAAGCGAAACTGCTCAGAAAAGACGCATCATAGCAACAAGCACTCACTCACTGACAGACATCCTCTTTTTCCCAATATGTCCTATTTTTTATACCTAAATAAATGCCCGGGGGGGATTTCAAAACCATCCTGGATTTTGGTCGACTACAGTGCAGCACGTAGTTGAAGAACACTTGGTATTCGAACGGAGCCATCAGCTCCGGGGGCAGGGAGCCAACACGGTGACGGTAGCCTGGACACCGGCGGCCCCATGTTCCCCCCTCCCTGCCTTACCGGACCCCAACCCCCTCCTTCGGCTTAGGACAGGCGGCTCATGGTTCTCTGCTGAGGTCCAGTCCAATCAGCGCCCCAGCAGTCGACACTTAATAACCCCCCTTGCGCCAGTGAACCAGTGGGCTGGTTGGAAGTCAATTTTGGGGCGTGACAAAAGTACAGGCCAAAACCAAATGAGGCAACATCCCAGAGTTTACGTCAACTCTGTGCTTTGTTTGGATTCGCCCGTTTTATGGTGGAAGTTTAGAATTGTGAGATTTGCAGAGAAAGGAGTTGTTGATGAGGTCTGATCTTCTCTGTACGTCTATTTCACCCACTGAACTATCGTTATTCATCTATGACAATGGTAACTCGGTTTTGCATTCTATGACCCTTTAAACACTCAAACATCTACATTTGAATCAACTGGTTGAACTGGGACCAGCAGACAGACCTGAGCCAATCGCAGTCCGCTGCAGCGAACAGTCAGCCCACCGTCTGCCGCCTCTATCTGCTGACAGGGGTTGATAGACGACACTCGGTTTCCCCGGCACCACAGCGCCACCCCTTGGAGGGACGATGGGGGGGATTAGAAAAATTAGATAAAATGTGTGTGTGTGTGTGTGTGTGGGGGGGGGGGTATTTTTGAGTGCAGACAATAAATAAGTATTTGTATTTAAGAAAACAAAACAGTTAAAGAAAAAATATATTTTACTTTCCTACCCCATGGGTATCGAACAGCAGATTTTATTAAACTAAACTTATTTTATGTTCCTTCCTCCAGCATCCTTTTATCAGCCCCCACAGTATCCCCAAAACTATCCCCCAGACTCCAACTCTACTCCCCGACCTCATCTCACACCTGCTGCTCAATACCACCTCCCAACTCACCCCTATTCAACTTACACTGCTTCCTTCCCAACTTTTTCCCCCATCCCCCGACTCCCCCGGGTCCAGAGTAACCCTGCCCTCTTCCCCCCCACCTCCTCTCCACCAACTCCTCCTCCTCACCAGTGGCCCTCTCAAGACCAGCCCATTTTTTCTCTGGCCAATGTCCTGTCTGTGGCAATGAGTGTAGCTCAGTCCCTCATGCCCCAATCTGGGGTCCCCAACCAGGCCTTATACCCCCAGAGTCCACCTATATCTCCCCCCTTTCCTTACCCACAAACTGCCCCCAATTCTTCTGCATCTCCATCTTTGGGCTCTAGTCTCCATCATCAAAACAAAGCCTCCTTTTCCAATTCCTTTCCCATACAACCGTCCTACTCTCCTGCAACACTTCAGGCAGGCTCATCTAGGGGAACCCAGCAGGAAACATCACCCAGCACCACCCAAAAAAACGCTCAGGTGAGACAGAGTGAAGCAGTTCTTCAGGCTACTAGGTTCTTCATTATGGAAGTAAAAAGACCTTCTTTAATCCATTTTTTACAGCTCAGGAATTCTGCGCCTCCTCATGGTGAGTACCTGGTGCCATCACTGACTCCAGTCACACCTGACTGAACCTGGACGTTGAACAGTTATCATACTGGTTCACAGGTTCAGGGATACCATCTTCTCCCAGTCTGACCACTACTTCTGATCCCAGAGAAGAGTTTTCTGACTCATCAACTTCTTCCACTTCCTCTCCTCATACATCAACTCCTCGCAAAATGGTGAGGTCCTTCAACAGCAGATATTCTGTTTGATCAGTGCATGTAAGTCACATCCTTCCCTGATGGATATATGAAGATTTCATCTGAGGAAACAAGCTTGTGATATGAAATCATATGTTCTCTAGTCGATGACTGTGCCATAACAATTCAACAGTCAGGGATCAGCTGTCCTGCAGTTACCTCATTAGTTAAAAGGTCACATAAATTCAGTTCTTTGAATCGTTCTTAGTGGACGATGGGTCCATCGTCTACTACCCGTCACACTCTCTGGGTTGTTTCATAGTTTACAGCTGCAAATAGCAAATCAGCCAATGACAGGGCAGCATCCACATCCTCTGTCCATGATGAGTTAAATCCAAAAGCATCTCACTTTGTTTATCCTTCGGGGTAAGTTCAAAGTTACTGTACCTTTTAAGTCCTCAAGTTATTTTAGTTCTGCTTCTTTTTCTCTTATCCCATGCATGCTGATTATGATCATGCTAGATCATCAAGTCTTTGACCTCCTCTAGTAGCCTTAGGTTCCTTGAATCCAATCACACTTGGGGGGAGTGGTGGCCTAGTAGTTGGGGCATAGAATCCTGAGGTTGTGAGTTCGATCCCCCACTCCCGCAGACTGCCACAGCCAACCGGGGAGCAGTGTGGGGATAAGGGTCCCTGAGCAAGACCCTTAACCCCACACTGCTCCTCGGGTGCCGCACAATGGCAGCCCACCCCAAGGGATGGGTTAAATGCAGAGAACTAATTTCATTGCTCTGTACTTGTGACAGTGGAATAGCAATAAAGTTGAATTTCATAATTTCTATTCTAATGTTGACTGCAAAGGACTTCTGAGTGTGTATCAGGTGTTGTTTCTAATCGTAAAGTTGAAAGCTTCTTCAGAATGGCTCTGTCCAATACCGTCACTGGTAGTTCGATGGTGGTGGAACAAGCTACCTGATGTACAGGGATCACCTTCCTTTCTGATTCTTCAGTCCTCAGACTCAGTCCTTTGAGCTCATTTGGACTCATGAGTCCTGACGAGTTTTGTGTTGGACTCCTTCACTCATGTCCTTTACTGTTAAACTTAATATTTTTTTTTCTCACGCTCAGGTGTCCCCTCCAGTTTCTCCATCAGGAAGAATGTCCCCTACCCTTAAAGGTAAGATTTACATGCTTGATTTTTAAAACAAAGAAAATGTCCAAAGTGTCATGTTCGGCTTAATATGTCTAACCCACATGCAGAACACTCCGAGGCAGAAGAAAAGTTCAAAGATTTATTTACAATAAATGTACACAATGGATCTGGTTCAGTTCGAGGCTTGACTGGTTACGAGAGAGTTCTGTAAAGCACACAGGTTATTCAGATCCAGGAAGTGGTTTGACTGGTCACAAGTGGGTTCACTGCAAGGGAGGACAGAGAAGTTTAGCGGAGGTCCAGGGAATATTGCAGGTTGAGAGTGTCAGGGCTGTACCTGTTCTTGAGTGGAGCAGAGCTGCAGAGGGGGGGTCCTTGAGGGTCCAGAGGCTGACGGCAGACAGAGGGCAGAGGCGGAGGCAGAGCTTACTGAGTGCAAGCAGATCACTGATTGAGTTTCCGGTTATCTTCTGAGAGCGGGCAGGCAGATTACCAGCAGAGAAACTCTCCAGAGTTTCAGGTTTCAGGCAGGTTCAATCTGAGGAGCAGAGAGGAGAGAAAACAGATCAGGTTCGGTTCTCAGGGGGTCAGAGTTACAGACAGGCTGGTTGGCTCAGGCTTGCTAACCGTTACTGGCAAACACTCTGACGTTGCAGTGAAGCCCTCCGCTTCCTTAAGTACGGATCTCCTGATGAGCAGATGAGGAACAGGTGGTGCAATCAGCTCCGGCTCCAGGAGATCTCGTACGCCCTCTGGTGGAGAAAGTGGACAGACCTCCAGATCCTAACACAAAGTTTTCATATTAACAGAACAAATATGAGGAATGTATTTTACTCTCATGACAAAAATCTTCTTTCTATCTTGTAATATAGATTTCCTGCTAAAGGTTTTTCCGTTCCTCTGTCCGTTACAACCACTATGATAATAGTTGTACAAAGGTGTAGTTACTTTGTAGTATTGGTAGGTATACTGTCCTGTTCTATCCTAGCATTACTCATGTCCAACGTTCCACCCAATGGTCCAGATGGTTGTAGAATATCATCAGTTAATGTTCGCTTTCTTCAGATGTTTTCTTTCAGACTCAGTCAAAAAATGTTAAATATGTTTCACTCTTCTGTCTTAGCATTGCTCTATTTCATGAATCGTCTACAAAGTTTTCTGAAGGTTCCAAAACAGGCTCCAGACTTTTACCACTGCAACCCATTGATCCTTTTGTCTTCATCAGTTCTTTAGTAGATTTGCTGCGGGTTCATTGTTCTGTGTGGTTATTATTTCACACTCAAACCTTAGGCTAAACCTGTGGACGACAATCTTTAATTAGGTTGTCAAAGGGTTCTTCTCTTCTTTCACAGTGAAAACAACAATGTTCACAGTTGGTCGCTTCCAAGTGTCACCTTCTCAGAGAGGTCCTCCCCTCCATCATCAGGAGGCATCTCCCCGAGACCAGGCTGCTACCACAACATCCCCCCAACTTCTATCCAGTAAGAATCAACCAGAGAGCAACACAGGAAGCAGTACAGAGGGCAGCCAATCAGAGAACAGCAACCCCACAGTTACCTTCTCTTCAGCTGGTGTCCATGACAGCCTGTCTGGTCAGGAGGGGAAGAAGTCAGGCAGTCGCAGGCTGAGTGTCAGCCTGTGGGAGGGGCCAGGAAGCAGCTTCAGCCAATCGCGGAGCCGGTCGGCCACCTACAGCTCTGATGAATCAGAGGGCGAAGAGATGTGGGAGGAGCTAATAGAGCTTCGTCAAAGGTGAATAGAGGCATCAGTTCAAATTCTGTTTATTTTATTCCATAGCACCAATTCACAACCCATGCCATCTAAAGGTATTTAAAGGGACGGTTCAATCAGATCATACAGTAAAGTAAAAGGAAACCAGCTGATTGCATCGAGTCGCTGACCTGTAGAACAAGCTCCTCCTGTTATGGTTTTTCCCTTTTGGGACTGAGTTTTTAGTTTTCAGTTATTAGTTATTCTGTTTTGATCTTTGGTTTATTTTTCCATTATATTCAATCAGTCTTTAGTTACTCTCTGTTGCCCCCATTGTGCTTGTTTCCTTTCCTCTTGGCTTCTTTCTAGATAGTTTTACTCACAGCTGCTTCTTATTCAGCTCATTAGTCCATCCTTTGTTCGGCTCTACTTATATACACCACCTCTGCGGTCACTCAGTGCTGGTTCCTTGTTGCTCTTGCCATTTCTTAATTTCTGGCTCCCCTGAAGTTTTCTGGTTTTTTTGGTTCCTTGTATTTTTTGTACTCTTGGATTTTTGCCTCAGTGGCCTTTAATACTAACCTCTGCATCCTGATCTCTGCATTTGGGTCCTCAAAATCCTCCACTCAACCGTGACACCTCCTGGATGAGCTTTTGTAGTTGGCAAACCGAGCATGTATGCAGTGACAATGGAGAGGAAAACAACTCCCTTTACAAGAAGAAACCTCCAGCAGAACCAGAAAAAGGCTCAGTGTGAGCGGCCATCTGCTGAGGCCGACTGGGGTTCAAGGAGACAGAAGCAGACTTAGAAGAAGGAACATAGAAGCTGTGACTTATCAATACTTTCTATGGTAGAAAAGGTAACAGTAAGCTAGATCCACAGGTGGCGCTGTCTGAGAAAGAAACAGTTAATCAGACGAACTCTGAAGCAGTTTTCAGGTCAAGGGGATGAAAGAGTGAAGATCCAGTTAGTCACAGTAAAAGCTGAGCCCATAGCTATGCCTAGGAGAGAAACAGGACTAAACACTGGAAAACAGGCTGAACTCTATCTTCATTAGAGATCAGTGAGGGGTTCAGATTAATTTCTCTCAAAGTTGTGCTAATATTTATGCTACTTCAGGCAGCAACATGATGATTCTAGCTAATCCACTGTTACTGTCATTCATGCTGCTGTGTAGGGATTTGTCCAGCTTGTTTCACTTAACTCTGCAGCAATGTTTGTGCCGATGAGTCTATCCTCTGTAACCCCTGTCTCCTTCCTCTTGACAGACACCTGGGTCAGGTGCAGAGCCTGCAGGTGAGTCAGAAGCGAGAGATTGAGGAGCTCTATCGCCTAAAGGGTAAAGTCCCACCCCCTGGCATTGTCCCTCCGGCTGCCATGTTGAAGCATCGCCATCGCCGCTTGTCCAACTCCGGAATGTACGGCCTCCCACGTAGAAACAGCCTGCAGAAACTGGACCCACTGCCCCCTTCAGGTGGAAATGCACACTTGTCCCACCATGCAGATGAACAGTTTCTGACTTTGTAAAACTGTTCTTCTTGTGGTTCAGGCATCATGAGGAAGGGCTCGGTCAGTGGCAGCAGCAGTGGATCTCAGGACAGAGTTCTGAAGGGAGTGACCTTCGCTCCAGGACACAGCTGCATGGTGAGATTAGAACCGCAACTACCAAAACCTGAGGGCTGCAGCAAGGTGCAACATAACAATGTTTATTTGCTGTGGATTTGATGTGAAGTAGACATACATGGTTATGACATTAATCCAGATTTTCTTTAGTGCTGGTTATGGCTCAGCTCAGGCTGCAGATCAGTTTCTCTGAAATGTTCTTTATTCTTCAGGGTTTATTTTAAGTGAGGATGGAGAACATGGCGTGCTTTGCTGAACATCTGATTTAGGATCTATACCTTACCTCCTACCTTTGTGTTTCAGTGAGAGAGGAGCTGACGAAAACATAAAGACCATCACAGCTGTGGAAACGGATGAAGATGTAATAAACAGTCTGACGTCATGATGGGGATTTTTCAGCTCTGGAGATAAAATGAGCTTTATGCAGATGCAACCTGCTGGACTTTCAGAGCCACAGACCAGCTAAATCCCAACAGAAGGTCTGAGGATGTAGAAGAAAGGAAGGGAGCTCTAAGATGATGTTCAGTATCATGAAGTTTGTCATGGAATCGCATTTAAGATATTTATTTATAAGATTATAAACATCTCAAAGATGAAGCTGTGAAAGTAGTAAAGAAGTTTATTTATTTATTCATCTCTGTGTTTATTGATGACTAAACCTTGATGATGGGTTTCTGCTGAAACTTTTATTTCTAATATTTTTAATAAATGATGCTGCTGGTTCAGTTTCTCATCAGATCCAGTTTACAGCAGCAGCCCTAATCTGCATCTGCCTCGTTTTAAGGATTATTCAAAGCTGTTTATCTGTTTCTAAGTTGTTTTTCATTCAGTTTTTAAAGTTTGAAACTTTATTGAAAAAAATGCTGACATTCTAATGATGATAACGACTGACTTCTCTGTGTGAAATACTACCTGTGGGTAGATCAGAGTTTAATAAATGATTCAGGTACCCAGGTTTGTTAGCCTCCAATTAAATAATCTGACATAACTCTGTTATGTCAGAAGTTAAGCAGAAAAAAATTATAAAACATCAACCAGCACCATGGAGCAATCCCTCACCTCAGTGTCTCATTCTACTATCACCCAATCAGAGTTCATCTCCTGTGATACTCCGGGCCCTGGGTGCAGGCCAGGTTTTCCCTCCCTCTCTCCTCAGCAGGGATGGACGGGCAGGTGCACTACATCTGAGCTGATTAACACCCTTCTTAAGGAGCTGGAACCAGGAGGAGGGTGTCAGTTCATTAACGTTTCAGCGTTAGTACAGACCAAACCTTGCCCTGTTCCTGCGACCTAACCTGTATCTAACTCAGCTCTTGCTCCTTCCTTGCAGAACCCTTGACTTAGACCTTGAAACCAAGCCTGGAACCACAGACCTTGGATCCCCATTAGAACGCAACCTGGAATCCGAGAGGGATCTTGGACCAATCCACCGCTCAGCCCTCCGGCGCTCACCTGCCTGTCCACCCTCCAACCATCAACCAGGGAGAGAGTACTGGACCAGCACAATCTTCCAGCAACTGTTCCGTTCATTCACCAGTCTCCTTATCTTCTCAGCAGAAGCCCAGAAGAACCAGACCAGACCACACTGTTACGTTCAAAAATGTAGGTTCATAAAAGAGAAACTGAGTCCTGTCCTTGGTCCCACACGGTCCTGGACAATTGGATCTTGACTCCCGGGTTTCGGCACCAAAATGTTACGTTCAAAAATGTAGGTTCATAAAAGAGTCCACACAGAATAGGGATTTTTGGCCTCTGCAGAGGGAGAGAGCCACGTTCAGCCACATTTGCTCTCTGGTGGGTTTCCTCAGCAGAAGCGTTTTTATTAGCAGATCATAACACATGGGGTGGGTTACAGAATAGTGTTCTTCTGACAAGGCAATTGACCAGGTCATAGGACAAAATGCTCCTTCTGATTGAATCACAGAATAGAGTGATCATCATTGAATAAAACTAACACACACGGCTTCTTGTACCGACTCATAATCTTTTCAATAAACCTTTAAACCTAAACACCTGCCTCTGTAGTTGCTCTCGTTCAGAGTCATCTTCTAATCATGAAATCTCCAAATTCTTTAATTAAACACTTTCTTCCTGACTCCTCTCTCTATCTCCTCTATCCTATAACTACTTGCATGAACCGTCTCTATCCAGGTCCTTTGGACTTGGTAGCCCTGAAACGGCACTCAGCAAATCAACAGATGATCTCTGACATCTAATTCTAGGCTCTTCACCGTCCTCATCATTCTCAACCTGAGTGCAGCCTTTGACACCATCTGTCACCCCACCCTCCTCATCAGATTAAACCCCCGTTGGCATAAATCATATGACACTGAACCCCCTGTGGTTGGAGCACAAGCTGTGTCCCCTCTTTTTGTGAGCCCAACAACATCCAGAGACCACATCTCATCCACCTTTTAGGCTTTGCCACCGGCATGTGAAAAAAAGTAATCAACTCTTCACTTTAGCTACATAAAAGGAGGTTGGTTGATTTCACTCAGTCGGCACTTTATTTTACTTTGCAAAGAAAAAAGAGAACAACACATCAACAGCCCTCACAGGATGATGTTCAGTCCTCTTCTACTATAGAGAATTTAGTCTAAAGGCCTGGTTATCCTCCCTCAGTGTGTCGCAGTGAGCTTGATGCAGATATTTTTGATTTATGCTCAATATTAAAGCGTGGTCTGTGCTATGTTATTCCATGCCACAACGCCAGAGTGCCAATCAGGAACTAGCTGTGGGGCTAGATACGGTTGAGGAAGTGGGGGCAAGTTTGTGCGTCAGCGGAGGGACATGAGGGCCAAAAAGAGCGGAGATCCAGGTGGAAAAAGGCTCCCAGCGTTCTCGCACTCCTCGCTCTTCTAGCTGGCTCATCTCCACCAGTCATTTTCCACAATGGCGGTCAGACAAACAAAACAAGTCGGTAAGGTACCAAACAGGAAATACGCATAGTGTAGAGAGGATGTAGATTTGACCAATCAGAGGCCTCCTGTCTGTGGTCACCTACAATTTTGGAGAGGTGCAGCAGAGTGTCTGCGGAAGGGGCGGGGACGTCTATGCATTCACCGTGACACACGCAGACGACCTGATTTCGAAATATAAATTTAGACTTAGACTAACTTTATTGTTGTTTTGTATGCACAGAGTGTATACAGAGTGTGTGCAGATTGAAGCTCAGAGATCGGAGAGCCATGTAGAGAACATTCATGGCCAAGGAGGGGCCAGCCCAGGAAATCCGATCCCCACAAAGGGAGGAGAGACAGCCGCAAGGAAGTCCCCCAGCCACCGCAATAAGGAGTGCCCGGGAGCCGCGGGGACCAGTATGTGGGCTCGGCCAGCAGCCAGCCACCCCGAAGTTAATCCGGCCCTGGGCTCCAGGGATCCGAGTCCCTAGGGGCTCCCCACCCCCCAGCATGAGCCCCAGCCAGGGGGGGCTGGGGTAGCCACCTGGGCATGAGCCAGTAGCCACCCGGGCATCCACCCCCAAACCCCGAGCTCCACCAGTGCACCGGCGGGCCCAGGTGCCAGCCAGCGGAGGGAGAAGAGGATGGGGGGAATGGGCTCCGCACTTCGCGGAGACTTGAGATGTGCTTGGGAGAGGGAGCAGTTCAGACCCCACTCTGGGAGATAGGCCAGCGCACACCCCCATTCGACAACCCAGAACCTTCAGTGTCTAAATGCGAGAGGGGATGGGGGTAGAGACTGACATTTTTTCGGGAATCCCACGCGTCACGGGATTCCCATGGGATTCCCGTGGATGGGAGTCAGTATTAGTAACGATCACCTGATTGGGACGGTACAGGATTAAACATAGTAACTAAAAAAAAACTAGGATCGATGCCAAAAAATTAAATAATATAAAAACAAAAAAAATCCAGTACTGGCGCCACCATTTTGTAGTTTTTTTCCTTGAAGCCTACACTATAATGTGAGTCAAAAAACTACACGACCCAAAAACCAACAGTGCTTCCACTCTGAGTTTTTCACCCGCGCTCAAAAACAACAAGAATGGGAGTGGTGCAGGAGCGGGAGTCATTCTGAATGGGAGTGGGAGTAATTTCACCAGGAGTGGGACTGGACAGGATTTAGATTTCTACTCTGGCCCGGGATTGGGATGGGACAATTTTTTCTGTTGGAGTGGGACGGGACAGGAGTGAAAATCCACTCCCATGTAAGTCTCTAGATGGGGGGAGCTGACCATGGTGAGGCTAATGAAATAGGCCCCCCTGGGTGCCCTTGACCCCCACCCCCCAAGACAATGCCCCTAGATGTGTGTTGTTCAAATGTTGTGAAGTGTCTAAAAATGCAAAATAAAATTGAGGTGGGGGACGTCATCAGAAGGTGGGGCCCTCCAGTAACGACCCCCTACCCAAAAGCCTACGTGTGTGGCAGTGTGATGGAGCAGGCAGAGGGAGGATTCCGGGAATGGGGAGCAAAGGACTGGGGTGCTTACTGCACTCCCAGGGAGCCACCTCCCCCGCTGACTCCAATAGGACTTCCCCGTTCCCTTAGAGCCCCACCGGAGAGGGGGGCCCCACCAGTCGCACCACCATAGCCCGGGGGCCACAAGCCAACCAGCCACAGCCCCATTAAGGTGTTAATGTCCATGCCCCCCCAGCCCAACAGGCCCCGAGGCCCCCCAGCACACCAGAGGCCCCGGGTTCCCCACAGAACCCAAACCCCCTATGCCCCACCAGGGCACCCGCCCGAGGGCAATGCGCCCCAGGGACCCCAGACCCCCGGACCCACCCCGGACCCCCCCAGCAGGAGCACAGCTACCAGGCCGGTAGCCCTGAGAGCACCGCAAGCGGTCGCCGTAGGACACACTGAGGCGTCCCAAGCCCCGCCCCGATGGGGGCAACAGACCCCGGGGTCAGACCCGCCAGGCACCCCACTCCAAGCGCCCCCCCGAGCCCTCCAGGACCCAAGGACCCCCGAACCAGTCCCTGCGCCCCGTAGGACGTGCCCCACTGCCCCCCACTACACTAAGTGATGGAGCCGATCAAGGGAGCCCAGAGAGATCGGTCTGATGGGGATGCAGATGCTGTCTCAAGATTAATATGATCCAACAACAGATCTCTGTACTGATTGATGCTGAGTTTATCCTTACTTTTCCAATTCATGAGGATAGTTTTCTTTGCGATACATAACGCAGTGAAGGCCATGCAAACTGATTTTTTTCCCTTAGAGCTTCCCTCAAAGTCACCCAGCAAGCAAACTGGAGGAGAAAGTGGGATTTTACAACCAAGGCAAAGTGATAAGTCCTTACATGCCTGTACCCAAAATCTCTGAACCGGCGTGCATAACCATAACGCATGAATATAATTATCAAGTTGATTGCCTGTGCACTGTGGACAGATGTTAGATTGCGCAAACCCCATCTTGGATAATCTTTGACCTGTATAGTGCACTCTGTGGAAGATTTTGGATTGTATTAATTGTAAATTGGGGTTTCTAGTCATGTTAAAAGTTCTTAGACATATCTGAGCCCAGATGTTTTGTTCAAAGCTGGCTGATAATTCCTCTTTCCATTTAGTAATAGGAAGAGATATTGTATCATCCAGTTTAGTCAGTGTCCTGTATAATTTAGACACTAGTAT